GCAGCGGGGACACCCGGGTGGGACCCACTGGATGGGGCGAGCCGAGCCCCAGGTGGCGGGGAGCTCGGGGAGGCGCGGAGCTGAGCGACCGGGGAGACCGCGGGCGAGGCGGGGGCGGGGAGCGGGCCCAGCGGGGAGGAAGGGAGGCTGGGGCGCAGGGCGGGGTGGGGACGTGTGGGTCTGGAGGGTGAGAAGTGAAGTGGTGGTCGCCTGCATGGGGGGACACTGGAGTGAGGCGTCGGCGCTGGGAGCACGTGAGCAGAGTACAGGATTCCTAGAGTCTCTGGGAGTCCCACGTCCGAACTGCGAGGCTCAGGAGTGACCTGCCCCCAGCACCAACAGGTCCACGGCCCAGGCTTCCGCCCTGGTCAGCACAGCCCCCACCACAAGCAGAGGGCCCTTCCTGGGGGCCACTGCCTTTCCCTGAGACTTGACAATGAATGGGATATTCAGGCCCTGCTGCTAGGAAGGGCCAGGAACAGCAGCACCAGCACCGCAGACAGGTCTTCGTGTTGCTGGTGGGGAGGGGGCAGAGAGCCACGCATGACCAGTCCCCGGACATTCTCTGAACATAACGGCTTGGGGAGGGAGAACAGTGACGAAATTGAGACGGTGACCCCAGCCAAGAGGGTTTTTTAGTGTTCCCTGTGGCTTTAAAGCAGGAATTAGAAATAACAGGAAGACCTATGAGGGATCTTCAAAAAGTTCTTGGGGAGCAGGTTGGGAGGGGGAGTGCCCTAGTAGTTAAAGTAGCTGGATCCCACATGGCTGACTGACCAGGTTCAAATCCCAGGAGTTCATCGGGCCTGTGTCAGTGCATGGCCAGAATCTCAGCGTCTTGGAGGACTGCAGCAGCAGGAAGAACGCCGTCAGCCTAACCACCGCCTGCGGCAGGCACTTTCTCCCTCCATGTCTCTGGCAAGTGCACCTGTCCTCTGACCAAAAAAAACAACTTTAAAGTTCATAGCAAATGGATATTATGGGGCCAACAGGCGGCGTGATGGTTAAGGCGCTGAGCTCCCACATCGTTGACAGCAGTTCTAGTCCCACTTGCTTTCCCGCAACTTGCTTTCTCACCTCTCTCTCTTTCTCTCTGGTGAGTGCATGTGCCCTATAGCAAAATTTCAAAAAAAATAAATAAATAAACTTAAATAATTTTTTTTTGTGCTATAGGGCACGTGCACTCGCCAGATAGACAGAGAGAGACATAGAGACAGAAAGCGAGAAATCACCCCCCGGGGGGTGGTCACGCCACAATCCCTTCTCCTCCTTTCTCTTCCCGGGATCCTGGGCACGCACGCACACGTGCCCGGCGTGTGTTTTAAGCCACCGGATCCAGGATGCAAACCGTGGTCGACTACGTGGGAGTCCAGCGACATAGCCATTACGCTAACTGCTGGTTCCCAATAATTATGTATTTTTAAAAAGAAAATAAATATTGTGAAAAAACTATGCATGAATTTCTAAATTTTTTGCACCAAAATGAACATATGCTTTAATTCCGTTTTCTGTGACTTGTTTGAAGTCTCCTCGTACCAAGCCGAGAGAAAAATGAAGAGACCTGGTGTGTGGGTACCTTGCTCAAATCAAGGGTTTAAAGGGATGGCGTGAGCTGCCTGGAGGGAGGGGCCCTACCGACTGTGCACGTGGTCCCAGAGAGGGCCGGATATCTAGGCAGGGACTCCAGGGGGCCGAAGTACACACCTGCAGGGCTTTAGGGAGAAGGAAACACAAGAGGGCTGAGGCTCAAGAACAGAGCTGCAGCCCCTGAACAGTGCAGCTGCCCCTTCCCGGCCACCTCTGCAAAACAGGACATTGCTGCCCTCCCCTCCGCCATCCCTCCAGCCAGGGATCTCTGCCGGGGTCCATACCTGAAAAGCTGCTGCAGGTCACCTTCCTCGTAAGGCCCCATGCTGAGGAGGGCGTGCAGTGGGGCACAGCAGCTAGCTGCCCCCGCCTCCAGCTGAAATGTGCCTCTCCGGCCAGGGCCTGCTTGAGCCCAGCCTGCATTTCCCGTTGTCCTGCAGAGCAGTCCGTGCAGCCAGTCCCAGGTAGAGGTGGGACTGAGAGTTCACTGAGCTCACCCCCAGCACCGTTCCCACCAGTCCGGCACACACAGCCTGTGAAAATGTCCAGTCCAGAGCCCTAGGGAGGCAGACAGCATAGTGGTGAAACCCCGCTCTGGCCAGGGGTCACGGCCCTGCCACTTCTGGGCCTCTGCCCGCTTAGTCTGGTTATTTCAGCTGTGAGCCTCGGGTGGCTGACCTGTGAAGAGGTGCCAGGCAGCAGGCCCGCGGTGACACAAACAGAGCCACATGGGAGGGCTCTGGGTTCACATCTCAGTGCCTCCCTGTGCATGCCAGGCACGTGCCCATGCCCAGAGTCGGGGCTAGGGCTGGATCTGTGTGCAGACCCTGCCGGGGTGCCTGTCTCTCTGTCTTCTCTCATAGGAGAGATAAGTAACCTTTTAAAAGGGGGTAGTGGGTAGGCACAGCAATAATATGCTCCTTGGGAGAGGCTGGATCGCACGTAGTGACCTGGTTTGAGTCCTGGCCAGGTCAGCCAGGGGAGGCCACTCATGAGGCATGTGTGTGAGCGCCCAGGGCCCGCCAGGCTGGAGGCCCGCAGGGCAGAGACCACGCGGCCAGACTGCGGAGTATGCTTCTCGTCCCCGCCCTCTCTGCCTCTCAGGTGTGTGTGTACACAGTCTATCCAAATAAAGAAAAAATTATAACTGCCAGAGGGCACGTGCACGCACCAGCGAGATCAGGAAAGCAGCCCCAGGGGCACGTGGCCATGTCTCCATCCTTTTCCCTCCATCTCTCCATCCCATCGGGATTTGGGGCACACATGTACCTGTGTCCAGCATGTTTTTCAAGCCACCAAGGCCAAGATTGGAGCCACAACTGACCTCTGGGGTCCAGCTTTCTACGCCAGCACTTAAGCACTACATGGCTACACAGCCAACCATGGGGGACATCATTTCAGTGTATTAATTTGGAGACAGAGGCAGCGACATCCTAATGGGCTCACACCGTGGGCTAGCCCGTCACAGCCAGCCTGCATCATGGGCACTGTGCCCACACCCAGCATATGCAGAAAGGACCCAGCAGCCCCACTCTCCCAAAAATAAATAAATAAAAGGGAGGGGCCAGCAGGCCGTGTGGAGGTTAAGGCGCTGGATCCTACATGGACAGCTGCACAGTTGGAGTCCCGGACCCGGTGGCCTGAAAATCACAGCAGGGGCGTATGTGTGCACTCCCAAAAGGGACTGTGGTGTGGCCATCCTCCCGGGCATGATTTTTCACTTTCCCTCTCACCCTCTCTCTCTGACAAGCACACTCCCTGTATGGCAAAAAATCTAAAAACATAAAAAAAGAAAGGGAACCAATATCTACCACAAGTTGTATGTATGAGACAGATCATCCATGTAAAGGCTCAGCCCAGTCCCAGGCTCAGAACACACACTCGGTTGGCTGGCCGGTGTTATAATTCCACTTAGCACCTGTTAGCCCCGGGGAGTGTTTGCTCCGGGCAGGAGCTAGGTGGCCATTTTCTGGGCCAGTGCTATCCTATGGCCACATTCCGAGCTCCGCACTCTCACAGCTTCACACTTCAGTGAGTGCCCGAGAGCCCGCTGCTCCGGGGAGGAGGGTCTCATGGTGAGAGGTTCAGCCATACCAGCTGGTGCCAGGGCCTAGGCCCACCCACGTGGGGAGAGGTGGGGAGCACTAGCCTAGCTGATACAGCTCTGCTGCGGGTGTCAGGCTAGGCCGTCCGGGTGACACAGGTCCACTGTGAGAGTCATGGCAGGCCACAGGTGTCGGGCTGGGCTGTCCGGGTGACACAGCTCCACTGTGAGAGTCACTGCAGGCCACGGGTGTCAGGCTGGGCCGTCCAGGTGACACAGCTCCACTGTGAGAGCCACAGCAGGCCGCAGGTGTCAGGCTGGGCCGTCCGGGTGACACAGCTGCACTGTGAGAGTCACGGCAGGCCACGGT